CACGGTCGTATACACAGGTCTGGCAACTCGGGCCGAATTTTAGTGGTGGGGGTAGCACACTTATTGAAGCAGGTTTTTTAATTTATGATATCTCCACCACGTGTCGCTACTATCTAGTATACAGCCGCCATCACGGTCGTACCACAGTCCACGACCGTAGCCGCCGTTATATTATTATATGTTCAGTGGTTCAATGCACGGTCGTGTGTTGTGTCACGTGTATAGGCAGGGGGAAGTGATCCGCGCAGTTCCTTGGGCCTAACGCACCTACGGCATTACCGAGTTCAAGACACCGCGGACATACACGTACAATTACACATACACACATACACTTACACATTTTCGAGTCTGAAGTCTTACTATGATTTTGCGAGCCTACGAACGAATTGAATAATGGCCGTTGCACGCCGAGAAGGTGATTTTCGCTAGTGCCAATAACCAGACGAAGAAGAAGAAGTGTCACGTGTATAGCCGCTGAGTTAATAATTTTGAAAAATATAATCTGTGTGCCTACGTCGTTTATTCACTTGCTCACCACCTTCGCTAGCATTATCTTCTTGCTACGCTGAATTGGGCCCGGAATGCCGTCTAATAATCGTCATAATAACCGTCATAATAACGACGTAACCTATAACGACGCTATTGCTGCTGTGGCATGGCCGTCTCCCTCGGCATTTGCATCATCATCGACCTTTCCTTCGCCTTGCTCGTAACCTGTACTCGTAACCCTCCTGACGTCCGCGTGATCTACGATTCTGCGGTCGATCATTGCCGCGTCTCGGATACACCCAGTGGATACCGCGATATCTGCGACGTTTGTTCGCGGCATAGGGTGAACTTTTTATCTTTAGTTACAATTAGTAGTGCGAGTTACAATTGTCAAAGTTCATTAATAACTTTTAACCTTAGATTAAGTCACTTTTCGAGCGATCAATATTCTGCTATAATTGAAACAATTCCGAAATTGATTTTGTTAAAATTAAACGTTGCTTATTTTGATACAAGTACTTGAATCGCCTTTAAAATTGTTTATTTTTGTCAAACTAATTTCTTTGTTTATTCCTTGTCATTTGAAATTTGTTTGTCTATTCTTTTTCTAAATTAAATTTTTTTATTACCTTTTATATACACTATGCTAATAAGGGAAGACATTTTACAATGTTGAAATAATCCAAACTGATACGAATAATAACATTTAAAAATTACTTTAAAATTTATTTTAAAAAAGAAAAAAATGTTTTCATTAGAGAGTATTAAAAGGTTAGACATGAATGTACAGAAGAAAATTATTTTTAAAAGGCTTAAGTACTTGTATAAATAAATATTAAAACTGCAAAATTCGATTTCATAATTATTTTAACACAGTAACATTATGTTGAGCAACTGCATATTAAAATATATTCACAAGAAATTAAATGTTAGTGCCTATATTGGACTTATAAATATCTACAATAATGACTTGCTTATTTCTAATATGCGATTTGCAAAAGTGATGACTTTAAATAGAATATAGTGACGAAATGTGATCTTTGTGATAAGCGCTTGCATTTAAAAAAAATTCATTGAAATCGATACAATGTAATAGGAAATATTTAAAAATTTTTTGCTGTTACTCATACGCATAAGTAAAATTAAATTATTTATAGTGAAAATAACGAGTAATACAATGTACGAATATATTAAAATTATTTGATGCATTTCTTATTTGAAATAGGGATGATACCTGTATAAAAGCTGTGAAAATTGATTCCTGCAGTCGAGCTTCAGTACCGAACGCGGCAACGAAACTGATAGATATGAAAACTCGTGGTGGCTTGATTTACGCCAATCTTAAATTTTTTAATCTCATCCGTCACGTAGAAGCATGCTTCGCAAGATATGCATATCATGTGGATGTTTTTGAGTTAACGTCCGATGAAGTTATTACAACTTATGATTTTACGTTTCCGTGCAAAGAGCACGCTTCTGACATACTATCCTTTGCATTAGTCTATTACATTCGGTTAAGGATGAGGCAACACGCTCATCAACAAAACTTAAAATTAAGTAAAAAATTTGTTGTGAAAAAAAAGCTGTCAAAATTGACGAATAAATAAACTGCTCTTTATATAATAATGTTATATTGTACTTTTTTCTTTACCATGTAAACCTGAAATGTGTTTTTTTTTTTTTCAAATCTGATACAATTTAAACATTATTCATGAGTGAATATCAATGATTCATCCGGAATCGGACACTAATATCATCAAAATGTCTCATGCCGTAGCTAAAGACACTCGACTAAACGTTATTTAAAATCACGGTATAATAAGACTCGGTCATATTTATCATGCTCGCCTGCATGTACAACGAATTTATTTCCTGCCAGTCAGCATCGCGTTCTTTATTTGTCTCGTTATAACCGTACTTAAATTTGGCGCGTTTTGTAATTCATTGTCTGGCCGCCGCTGTCGTTGCGATCTAGTAGCCCGACTAGCTTCAATAAGTGAGTCACCCCCCACCACCGGAGTTGCCAGACCTGTGTATACGACCGTGGTTAAAGTCGACACCTCATAGAAGTTAGCCGGACAATTTCGACTTACGACATTTTTTTTTTACGAATCGATTGTTAGTCGTTTGTTATTGATTGTTAGACTAATTAGAACGTTTGTTAGTTAATAGTTTTTACGTAATCACAAAAATAATTTTTAGTGTTAATTTAGCCGGTAAATATAGAATTCTTTACAATTTTCGATTCAAACCGTGGTCAATCGATGCGGAATCGTTTGTTAGTTCCGAATATACTAAGTAAAACGTTTGTTAGATCACGGTTTCGCTAAAAAAAGCGAAAAACTGTATATCGTTTAGCTGCCGGAGTGTGGGGGTGAGACGTAGAATATGTGGTGGTTTCGGAACGCATTACGTTATAGTTTATCAACACGGGAAACGTGCTTAACCTATTTTCAATTTATTTGTCAGATTAGCATAGCATTGTACTACGACGCAGTTTACGAATATTCCGAACCGAGAATATTACGAACAGAAACCTCAACGGAGTAAAGTGAATAATACCGTATACCATAGAGAAGACAGTAAACGAAGTAAATATATGCAGAGAAGTCGCGGACGGCTTGCGTATATATTTCGATTTCGCATATTACCTCATCTCCTGTTATATAGGTAAGAAAAAGAGCAATATATTTTTCTGTAAAATCTTCCTTGCTAAGCAACGAACAATTAATGAGTAAAATTAAGGCTAATATACATAGTCGGTTCTTATTTCAAGACAATGGCTTAAGGTTGATAATATATACGGCTCTGTTATATCTAACAATCGAGTGATTAGTTTATAACATCTCTCTCTCTCTCTTAAGATTACTCCAGCCGGCCTTAAATATAAAAGATCCGACAATGAAATATATTGAAGCATTAGTTTTCGTGTCGGTAAGGCGGAAAGCGTGACTAG